ATCAATGGTTGCGAGCTCAGGATGACATCATTGGAAGGAAAGGCTGCCTCTGCTGCGCTCCAATCCGCTTCTCCTCCCATGCCCTCCCGTTTGCAAAAGTAATGACCGTACACACACAGGTCCTCGGTTCTACTGGAGGAAGTCGTGACGCTAAATCAGCGCCGGCGCCGATAGGTAGCTAATCGGTGACCTGATCATGAGTGAGCGGGATGAGGGCATTGAACTCTCCTCCTTCTCCCAGAATATTCAGTGAAAGTTATCGCAAGAATGCTGAGTTGTGGGCAAAAGGGCGCAGTTAGGCCATGGGGGCATTTTGGGTTTACCAGTTTCACTCTGGAAAAAAACTTGTGAAGCTGGAGCAAGGTCGTCAAGCCATCATGTAAAACCTGTCAACTCGAGAAGAGGCTGTCTAGATAGGTCGACACGTCGATGGGAAGTAGCAAAAGTGCAAATGCCCCCCCCTCCACTCGCCCGTCGCCGAACTGCGCCAGGCAAAAGCTTTGAGCCCAGGTGGGACTCGAACCCATGCGTGCCGCTTTGAGAACACATCAAGAGCGGCCCTGATGGCGTAGCCGGAGCGCACTCGCCCGGGAACCGTAACATGCGGGTTAAACTCTCGCCTAGGGTCAAGACATTTGCCCTTAACTGGGCATTATTGTGGTCACTTTTGGAGAGTGAACCAAGACCTCCACATTTCATGGAACAGAACTCAGATCATACTTCTCATAATTTGATTCGACTGGTGAAAGTCTATTTTATAACTCTTTACGTCTCATCTGTGCTTTCGTCATGACATTAACCACCTGAGTGGTCCCATCATCTCATGGATTGTCTTTGCATGGGTTCCGGATAAGTACACGTAACCTCATTATCATGCATTATAGGTAGCACGTGCCAATATTAGACGCTTACGTCTCCTATGAATACGTTCTATGTTTTGTGGTCTCTGGATGATCGTTCTATGGAAGTGGACGAGAGCTTGTGGACGTGAGTCCTGGCCAAGATCCGGAAATTAACGGAAACGATCTAATTAAATGACGAGTCCTATCCCATCCATTAAATGAAAAAGACACTTTTCAACGGAATTATAAATAAAGTGGTCATATTTCAGACCAAACCCATCCCAGCAAAAAAGACCAAGAATTTATTTTATGTGAGTAGTGATCTTATCACATGGCTCGCGCCAGGTGACTTGTCTGCTGGCTTTTGACCAGAACAATCTGCTCTAGCTTCCATCATTTATCGTAGTCAGTTTCAAGGTACTCTCTCCATCAACCGTGAGCACCCTCGACAAGGCAGATGAACTCGTCGAGCTCCTAATTTACTCACTCTCAACAAGCAACTCTCAAAATGTGGTCGTACTCGGTCATAGTGAGGAGTCAAATTCACCCAGAGGACTTTTCTGATTGGTGATTTTTTATCGCTTCATAAGCGCCATGTGTTATCTTTCCTTATCTCTGCCGGGGGGATTTCACAAATTTTCTGGTCTGATATTTGGTTGCGGATGTCCTGCCTGTGGTGGGAAGTTGTATTGAAGAAAGGAATTTCAAAGGCGAGTCGTCCAGAAAAAAAAATTCCACATCAATATCATTATTGCCATCCTATAGTTGGAACATTGCAGGAGCGAGATAGTTGGAATAAACTTCTCCGGCTCACAGACTATGTAATCACACCCCCTTGTTCTACCGGTCCTTGTTTTCGACCAGGATGCTCAGCTTATCCTTTATACCACATAGCGTGGGCTTTGACCTTTATTTTTCTGTCTCAACAATTGCTGTTTCTTTCTTTGGCTTTTTGTCGTTTCCTCGTCGGCGCCTCTTTGTTCGTTCGTGTGAGAACCGTCAAATAAAAACCCAGTTCTTGTTCACGGTAAAAGACAATTGAATGAGTATACTTAGTCGCTGCGCAAGAGAAAAAAACTGCAATTAGCTCAAGAATAAGTACAGGCGCATGTGTCTTGACCTTGTTTTTTATGATAGAACTTCTTGTAGCCGTGAAGAGAGCTGAAGAGAGTTATTCTGCTGAAGCGCAGTCGACTGAATAGAGGCTGGGCAATTCGGATCTGACAGAGAAAGCGCCAACTATAAAATTATCTGGTAAAGGCGGTCTTACAAGGGAAGGATGGTAGGTCGAAGTGGCCATTTGAAATGAAATGTATACCGGCTGAAAGGTCTTCGGACGGGAATTACGAAACCGTGTTCCATATCTGCTGCGGACCTCCCAGAAAGAAGTTACGGAGCTTTTTTGGGGGAGAATCACTACAAATTGGCGGCGTAAGGCTACGAGATCGTGGCAGCATGGCCGAGTGGATACGTCGTAGGGCTCACGGATGCGTGGTCGAGGGTTTGGATCCTTGATGCGTGTGCTCTTTTGCATTTTTTCGAAAGTGGTCCCTGTGCACTTCAAAGCCATTTTGCATAACACTTGTCCATGATAACGTCGTGATGTAATGATTCTGAACTGATGGAGCCATTGCGAACCATTCAATAGAAATCACTTCTGGCTGTTGTCTTCCTCTTCTTTGATTTGAAGAGCATATACAACAAAAGTGCACTCCAAAGAAAGATTTTGCCTTCAAATGAATTTATTCTCCAAACGACATGACCGGAAAACGAATCCGAAGTTGTGCAGGAAGATGATTATAGTGGGGAAAATGCTTCCATATGAAGTGGCGTTGATGTGGCAACATGCTGGAGATCGCGATGGGCAAGAGCTTCATTCACCAGTGGCATAATGTTGAATTATGTCTATCTCAAAGAGTTTTCGTATCTGCTGGAAGTTTTCGGCTCGTATGACATTCTTTTCAGCCGGAGGTGATCTCCATGAAATTCGCAATGGCTCCATCAGTTCAGAATCATTACATCACGACATTATCATGGACAAGTGTTATGCAAAATAGCTTTGAAGTGCACAGGGACCACTTTCGAAAAAATGCAAAAGAGCACACGCATCAAGGATCCAAACTCGACCACGCATCCGTGAGCCCTACGACGTATCCACTCGGCCATGCTGCCACGATCTCGATAGCCTTACGCCGCCAATTTGTAGTGATTCTCCCCCAAAAAGCTCCGTAACTTCTTTCTGGGAGGTCCGCAGCAGGTTATGGAACACGGTTTCGTAATTCCCGTCCGAAGACCTTTCAGCCGGTATACATTTCATTTCAAATGGCCACTTCGACCTACCATCCTTCCCTTGTTAGTATTGAATATACCGAAAAACAATACAGCTCAAAAGCTATTTCAATTACTCAAGTCAAAACTGTGCTCCGCGTGTGAGGCAGCTCGGGAGCAAGTATAGGTCAGGGCACTCGTTAGTTGAGGGAATCTCCAGCAAGGGCGTCGTATTTGGCGCAAGGAGAGAGCGGGGAGCGGGAGTGGCGCATTTAGTAGCTGAAAAAATTTGTCGCAAGTTAGATTTTTCTCGGGCCTTCGCGACGTTTGTAAAGGGGGGGGATACTTTTTCGTGATCCCGCCCCGCTTCCATCGCGTTCGATGGATAGGTTCGATTGAGACGGACAGAGTGCCGGAGGGGGGGCGTCGTACAGGCGTACATAATCTCGACCAAAATCCGCCATCAATGATCTGCCCTAGTATAAATTTTTTGCGTATAAAGCGGGCAGCGAAACCTACAGACCCGTGACTACAGGCTTGTGGCATACCTTGTCACTATGCACATCTCATCTACCTGGCTCATGGCAGCCTTCGTGTACAAAAAAACCATATCTCGAAGATGAAAAGGGCGTTGCCGCTGCTTCTTTCGAACGTGTCGGTGATTGTGCTTTCGATGGGGCATCACCGTTTCGGACAACCTTGATCATGCCTTTTGCAGCACAAAACAGAATGACAGTTGTCTCAAAAGGTGAAATCCCACGAAAAACTTATTGAGTCATCTCATTCAAAAACGTGTAAGATTTCATCCAAATAAAACGAAGAGGAAAATGGATAAGATAGCCAAGTTCCACGAATACGTAGCTATTAGTACCTGCTTTCAAACGATATAGAAGCTCAGAGCCTTACTTTTGCTTAGCTGTTGTTCCTCCAAGTTCCTCCACGTTTTTGAAGAGATAACCTGATCAATGCTTTGTTCAAATGACGCGAGCCCTTGTCGTGGCCGGGATTTACAGTACACAGGTGCTACCGGGACGTCATGTGGAGGCATTCTGCTTACATAGGTTATGGCGCGGCGCCAGCTCGTTCCCACAGGTCGTTGCCATTGTGAGCTGATGTAAATGGGTTGCGCCGCGCCAAATGCATGTTTGTGAGACGCCTCGATCGTCAAAGGGCCATAGGTGCTAGACTTCGTGTTTTGCAGTTGAATTTGACCATACTGAGAGCATAGCACATGGGGAAGAAATAATGAGGACCGTGCAGGGATCAGCGATGAAGTGACGAGAGATAACGGAAAGGAGCGAAAGGTGAAGCATCAGCGCACTCACTAATGGCTCTGGCTGGAGGGACCAGATGAGCCAACAACTGGATGAGGGTGCGCGATCTGGGTCAAGCGGGTCTTTAATTCCTACTTTTATAAGGCAGGGTTGGAACACGTTCCATGCTAGCGAACCAGTTTACGTTAGGCTGCGTTCATACTTAGCAGCAGAGTCCACCAGCGCTCACCAGCAATCGGCAGTGGAGAGTGTGGGGAAGTAGGAGGATAGCAAACAACTGCATTAGGCGTCGTGAAATTACGGCGTATCGCACCGTACAATTACTCTATTACCGTAATGTATATTCTATTTAGCAGTTACGTAAACATGCCCGCAACTTCGACGGACCCGCTCTAATTCCCGGGTCCTACGCTCACCCGGGTCAATCCAATCTCTATCCGTGTGCTGGTGAACGCTAATGACTGTCGGTGCAGAGCTATGCGTCGATTATCTATGTTTGCCTTAGTGCTGGCGAACGCTCGGAACGCTAGTGGAACTGGTAGACACTCCCGCAAAGTCTGAACGCAGCCTTGATAGGTGGAATAAGCAGCAACTGCGTGACAAAGTCGTCATCCAGCTACCTTCGTAGCTCAGTAAGAGGGCACCGTATTCGCTTCCAACTGGCTTTCTCATTGTCGAATGATTTCCAAGGCATGATGAAATGATTATGATCAATTTCTTTACCTGTAATATTACTGCTTTTTTCTGTTCTGATCACATATTGCTAAAGGCAATTTACCGTATCTGTGTAACTGTTGCAAGTCGTCCCGCATTTGGTCCGTCACGTTTGTGCCACTCATCGATTGCCAAGAATCACATGCAGGGTACGCACGATCGAAATTCTGAAATTTGAAATTTTGTGTTTGCTATGCCACTGACGAAAGCAACACTTTCGTTATTGGGCACAGCAGTGAAAGTCGTAATGGGGGTGTGGCTTTATAATATGGACATCGCTTTTTTCAGCACCGCTCGTAATGATCAAGATGTAAGAATTCTGTATTTTATGTGTTTTGGTTTGTTCTCGATTTAGCTATACGAGCCGTTTGGATCCACACTGAAGTGATTTCGCGCAACTGCGCAGATTGAGGTGCAGAGCTCCGCCACGGTGCTTTCTCTTCTGAGGCGGAGTTGGGTTGGAACGCAGAACCATCGCGTCGTGGAAACTTTGAAGGAACTTCTTATTGATGGAGAATCGGCCGGCGTGCCCCCCAAGCTGTGGCGATGGACCCTCGATCCGTCATACAGAATGTGAGACGATAAAAGGCTTCAAATCGACTACGGATGAGGCAGCAATAGCTCGGATGCGATCCTCAAGAAATTGTGTCAAGGACTGGCTCTATGCCGTTGCTAGAGCTTGACCAAAGTGTTAAGTGAGAAAGGCTGGAATGCAACGTAGTACTGTAGTGCATCGGGTGGTGAATGCGCTGTGGGTAAAAGGGCAAATCTCACAACTACACAAGAGGGCAACGTTCCAAACAATCGCCCGCTGATGATTCCAACCTAAAAGCATCCCAGGAAGAGAGAGTTCCCACTGCAGAAACTGCGAAAGACCTCATGAGTTGGAACGAGACCGGTGCAGGTAATGCGCAACGCATCATTATCCCTCTAGAAGTGAAAGTCAATAAAGCCTATCAACAAAAAGTCCCCAAGAAAATTGAGGAAAACTGATAGCGGAACAGCGGTCAAAGGTCCCTTTTACATGATGATGCCCCCACCCCCTATATCAACATTACTTGGACAAAGAACAGAGATTTCTCAGCAGCACATGACTGCCTCCACCTGATGCTTTATGAAGAGAAACAGAGGGATAAGATATCACCACTCTAGAAATACTTAGACCTGAACTCACCAATCCAATCCCGGACCGATACCTATGTGGACTACCACTATTTTTTGCTAGTTCCTGTTAATTTGCACGTCTCACCCTTGTGAGACCTGTAGACTCTTCTCAAGTGTAAGCGAAGCTCATGCTACCGCATGGCTCTACAAAAGTTTACAAGTCTCCACAGGAGGCATTGCCAGTGATTGGTGGGAACCAAGTGCCCCCCCCAAACCGGATTTAAAGGGAATTTCGTTCTAGAAAAAGAGCCCGATAGTTTTGAAAATGTCCAAACACTCCATGTGGCAAACAAACATCTCCGAGGCCGTAGTTTAGTTACGCCAAAAATGAGTTTGAAAAATAAATACTAGCATTATGGGAGTGACAGTCCTTGAACTTGATAGCGCTAGTCTAATGACATTTATAGGAATAATTGCGACAGATGCAATCACTTCAAAGGTAAGTCAGTTAACAAATTGCCTAACTATTTAACAAACCAGCAATTCTGACAGTACTGGTACATATATTTTTTATAGATACATTTGTGTAGATATAAATATATATCATTTACATCCTTTTTATCTAGGTGAAAATCTCGATTTGGAATGAAAATTCTACTCAAATTTAATTTGGCCCACTGCACATTGCTTCACATCTGCTCAGGACAGTAACACGGTACAGCATCGTTGGGAGAGTCCCATAGGAGCTCTTACTAGCTTACTCGGGGGAGTAGCATTTGCGTTTGAGCAAAATTTCACCAAGTCGCGTCGTTCCTACTACTGATTCCAATTTTTCCTTTTTCCTTTGCTGTTTCATCAGCGCTGCAACCGCCTCCCCCCCCCCGCTCCGGCGCCAGCCGCCAGCGCCGCAGAACTACTATTTATCTGATAGCTGGAATCAGTAGCTTATTGGGAGATTGGAATTTGGGTCGTACCGAGGAGGAACCTTCGAGAAATCGTGTTAACTCCACATTTCACAAATCATGATAATCTGTCCTGAAATAGCGTCCACTGTACAGACGCTGGATGAGGTGGGCCCTGAGAAAACCAGTGCTCGCACTGCGTGACTGCGTGGCAGCGGACTGCGGAGCAACAGCAGGACTCGGAGGCGTT